ACCAAAGTGGAGTACACATCATATAGAATATGGGTAAAGGGAGAAAGTGCATTGAATTGACACATTTGCGGTTCCTTCCCCGTTCACTGCAGTTCTTTTTCTAGAGCTCTGTGGCAGCCTCCACAGGCACTGCGGAAATGATGCGAACGTGATACGAAAGGGGATCCGCTGATTCTAGACCACATTTTGATCATTCAGGGGTATTGCTTTGGTATCGCTTCATGTAAGGCGAAAACAAAGCCAAGAAACGGATTTCCAGAGCTTTCGTCTGACAAGGTTGCAAAGTAGATTTGAAGATATTTGAATCACGTGATTGAAGTGTACCTTGTGAAGGTATTGCTTTTGGGGGGTCACTATATCGCTTTACAGGTTTTTGGATGATTTCACATATGACATAGTTCCTCTCTCATAAAGATTTGTGCACGGACCCTTTATAGCATGTTGCTCACCTGCGTGCACTCCAGCGGAGTGGTTGAGCGATCCAGTGTGATTGGTTCTCTGGAAAGCGGACCGACCTGGGTGAAAGGAACAGCACCAAAGAACATAGAGAGGCTTTGTGTCGAGCATTCACTCGAAAATCGCTGGTTGGGGTAGATCTCGAGAGACTTAGGCAGTGGTTCCAAGGTTTTGCTGAGCGTCGGTTCTCACGGATGTCCAGTTTTGGGTTCACGAAGAGCTTCTATATGAGTAGGAAGCCAGCACAGTGGAAGGTGTTTGGAGCCTCTAGGACCTAGAACCCCGTTTTGATTGGACGAAAACCACAAAACTGCGTGGTCAGTCGTCCAAGAAAGGAATCCCAAGAGTCTTAGGAACACGTCATCCATCCTGTCACTGGCTCCACCACACGGAAACTCCCATCTGTTGTGATCTCGCAGTGAAATTTGGCCTGTGCAAAACTCCAAGAAGTCATCAACCAACCAGCAGTGACATGTCACCCTTGAGCCTGGAGGAAGTCGGGGTGCCCCTGTCACATCCACTCACCGGATGGGATGAAGCAAACCATTCAACTCCGAACTGACTGGCGCAGGCCCAGCTCACCAGGACCGGGGGGGTGGTGACGTTCACCAGGACCTGACTGGAGAAAGAAGCTTGATAAATGCCAGGGTCGGGTCGCCCAAAATACCTTAAAGACATCTGACATGCTTGTGATCAGTTTGACTTAAGCATACAAATTGCAAGACTTATGGTCCTCATTAGTCCTCTAAGTCAAGTCACCTGCCAGCGACAAAGCGTTCCACTGCAGGGCTGAGCTTTGAGAGCTGAGGGCCTCAAAGCTCAGATTCCAAGCTTCGGTCGGTCCGAGAAAGCGCGGTATTCTCCGGGAAGAACCACACTTCGAACTTGGGTTTTCAGTTAACGCAATTGCCACGTTGGGAAGGAAGGCGATAGAACAGCATGGCGCAAAGTCCGACAACTTGGAAGTGTTTGAACATCGATTGTTTCACTTGACGTCGGTCATCGGCCGGCTGCAGCTCATGAACAGTGGGAAACCTGTTTGTGGGAGGGTGTCATGACGAAGAACCATGGAAACAAAGAAACAGCAGCAGGGTGGACCATTGGTGTCATTGCGTTCAAAGCAGGTACACACCGAGACGTCTCTCGGTGCATCCCCCGTCACATCCTAGCTTCGTTGGGCCAGGTTGGATGTGACAGGCCTGACCCCCCTGCTCATGTAAGATAAAAAGAGTGGTGGTGGAAAACCCTTTGTCCAGGGTTGGACACACACAGGTCGCCGCGTTCGGCGCTTTTTCAAGACACCCCCTACCGTTGAACCAGTGGACGAAAACCTTTTTTGCCCAGGGGTGGACACACACACACACAGAGCCGTTTTCGGCGCGGTCAAAGTAGTAGTAAGGCCAGGGGCCTCCAGTAGCGTCCTAACTCCCAGAGGAACATTTGTACAAAAAGCGCCAAATTGTTGGCGCAACGAAGAACTAGTAGACACCTAAAAAGCCTTAGAAAGACAGAAAAAGCAACGAAACAAGAGCAGACTAAGAGGGCAAGAAAGAAGAGTAGGGTAGTTACGAGGCCCACTTAGTTAAACGAAAGTAGAAGGCGAGCGGGACATTCGTCTTAAACCGCCCGGGTAGCTAGCAATAGCTAGGAGAAACAGAAGGAAAGGCACCAACACACAAGTGTGTTGAGTGCGATTTCCTTCTGTTTCCCGAGTAGCGGGTGGGATAGCAACGGAGGCCTGGGGGGGGGGGGGTGTGCATGATGAATTCATCCGGCCTGTGAATACTTAGCAGCGCAGGCATGTGAATACTTAGCCGTCAAGTGTGCTCAGGCTAGCGAGTTGACATGACTCCGAAATCTGAACTGAAAGTTGAAGTCCGAAGTATTCTTCAAGAAACCGTTTTTTGGCCCGGCGGCCGGTGTGGCAGTTGATTCTGTGAGGGTGTCGGTGCCTTCCTGTGAGAGTCCAGTGAGCGGTGGTGCGTTGGGGTGGTTGCTTTCCCATGCAAGATCGGCGCCCCTGACGGGGATCACACTCAGCACCCGAGTGGGACGGCTGAGCAGGACACACTTCGAACTTGGGTTTTCAGTTAACGCAATTGCCACGTTGGGAAGGAAGGCGATAGAACAGCATGGCGCAAAGTCCGACAACTTGGAAGTGTTTGAACATCGATTGTTTCACTTGACGTCGGTCATCGGCCGGCTGCAGCTCATGAACAGTGGGAAACCTGTTTGTGGGAGGGTATCATGACGAAGAACCATGGAAACAAAGAAACAGCAGCAGGGTGGACCATTGGTGTCATTGCGTTCAAAGCAGGTACACACCGAGACGTCTCTCGGTGCATCCCCCGTCACATCCTAGCTTCGTTGGGCCAGGTTGGATGTGACAGGCCTGACCCCCCTGCTCATGTAAGATAAAAAGAGTGGTGGTGGAAAACCCTTTGTCCAGGGTTGGACACACACACGAGGGAAATGAACTTCTGCCGAACAACAATGAATCAAAGTGAATCACATATAATCACATGAATACTGATACTCGATCAAGGAATGGAGCCACCCTGGTGGTTGTCTTCCGACATATTCAAGACATTCCAATGAAAGGAACTACTCACCTCCTTCACAGCCCGCAGGGATGAGGCCGCCGTAACCTCGGCAGCACGGTCCCGGCTCAAGCCGGTGAGTACCGGCAGCGGAGCCGGTGGCGATAGGTCCGTGGCGACTGCTGTAGCTTGGTCAACCAACGTGATGTGGTTCTTACTCACCTGAACGGATCGTCATGGCGATGTCGGAGCCATGAAAACGGGAGTCGAAACATCGAAACATGGTGCAGCGCCATCGACCACGAAGCATGCAAAGCTTCAAAGCTTCGAGACATGCAAACAAGTCAGGGCCGCATGCCACTTCACTTCCATCATGAAGATTGATTGACTCAAGGCCCTCAAGGCCCTACAACTATCAATGCCCAAACCATTGTCTCAATCCCAGACGCTCCATGTATGCCATGTTTGTCAATCAGTTGGGGTGGTTGAGAAGGGGTTGATGGGGCAGCATATATGGGATTATATTGGTGTCTATTTTCCTTCTTCCGACTTCCTATTATACAGTATCATACACATCCATATCCATGGCATGGAGTGTCTGGGAACGTTTTTTTTTTGTGCCCATGATGCCCTTTGATCCAAAGCACCGCAGGAAGCGGTCGACGGCGCCCACGGCGCTCCAGTCACAAAAAGTGAAACAAAGCGCCACCGTGAGCCCGCAAGCCGAAGTTCAAAAAACGCCTTCTTCAGTCGAATACAAGTTGGAAATGTCACAAAAGTCAAGGTTGTCTTTCAAAATTTGTGTCATGTCTTTCGGTGCGTTTCACCATGTTTTCACTTCACCTCCCTGCGGAACGCCCACCCCGTCGGCGGTCACGGCGCCCGGGCTGGCAAGAACTTCTGGAGTCTGGGCGGAGCGGCGGACGGGGAGCGGCCGAATGGGTCAAGCGGAACACATCACCCCCAAAGCACTGAGGGGGTTGGATGGGTCGAGGTTGCTGAACAACGTGGTGATGTTTCAAGGCCGCGCAGCTGTTTACCTTCAACACTTTCACAGAACATGTGTCAGGTTGGAAGTGGCTCTGTACTCTTGGGTTGGCAGTTGTTGACGCAAGTGCGCCTAACACTTCCATTGCTTGTGCATGCCAGGTTCCACAAAATCATATTGGATCGTGTAGTGTTGCTCAAACGAATGGGTATAGAAGAGTGTCTGTCCATGATGTTTTACGACTGGTCTTGCTGTCATGGGTGTTGTTCCATCATGATCAACCTACGTGTGTATTCTGATTAGTGCCATGTGCATGACGACATGCAACCTGGTAATGTTGGAATTATGCACCGCATCCCACAAAATCTGATTGAGAGCCAGTTCATCAACAACATGGTCCAAACAAATGAACTGAATGAGTGTGGATTTGTACGATCGGACCCCAAACCTCGTGGTATAAAAACAGGAAACAACATGAAACAACATGAAACAAACCATATTTCATTGATTGGGGAAGCCTATTCCAAACACAGGTCTGCAAGGCATAACAGGACCAATCAACTTGCACTTGCACTTCCGAATGATGGGTATAGGTCTGTGTGCAACAACCAGGTCAAAACCGTCAAAACTGAGTCAAACCTGTTTTCAAATGGAACTCCCGGGTGGATGTCACCGGAGAAAACACCCCGGCCGAAAACCCCCTCTCCGCCTGCGCAGCGCGGAGCGGCAAAAGCCTCGGGCGGCGCATTCGGGGAAGCCGCTGCCTCGCCAGAGTTGGTGAACCTCGGCGGAACTTTCGCATGGATTGATGTCCAAAAAAAGACCAGCCCCTTTGGGCCTCCGGCAGAGCCACACGCGACGATTTGCGAGAAAGGGAGAAAACATGGTTGATGGACGTTCGATGTCAGTGATGTTAATGACCGGTTGGCCAAAGTGAATCTGTGTTGTCATCTCGATGAGGGCCGTTTCAGATCGGCGTCGTGAAACATGCTCCTGGAGCCACGCGGTGCTTTTTTGGAAGGATCATGCTGGGTCCACATTCCAGAAATGTATAGACATGTCTTAGACTGTTGACAAACAGAAGCCTGAAGCCTGCAAGAACATTTATTACTGTACACGGTTACCTTCCGCACTGTACCAGGCATTCCTCCGAAATGCCAATAGACAGCACAGTTCAATGTTTCCACTGACCAGGGCGCACACCAGGCAGCCGCTTCTCACCGCACGTCCCGCCTCGCGGCCCCCCGACCCCTTCGTAGCTCTTTCGGTTGGTCGCCGGTCGCTCTCGGGGCGGTGAAACGGTCTTGCCTCAAAGCTCCTGGCATTTCGCACACCAGGAACAATAAGCAAATCAAGAATGCAAATCAAAGTCCTCAGATCCATGATCCATACAAAATTCCCATCACCCAAATACCAGGACAAAGCAGCTGCATCAGTGCATTCTTCACACCCTCCATGCGGATCCATGTAGGGGTTGTTCTTTCAGCAAAAGGATTCCCTACGGTGGGTCCACCAACTGCACCAAATCTAGCAGCTTTCAATCAACGCAAAACATGCAAAACGAGTTCCCGGTCGCTCGAACCGCCGGTCTCCCGGTGAGGACTGCGAGCCGACCGTGGGTCGAAATAGGGTATCATCCAAACCAATGGACTCTACAATATAATAAATCAATATATTATTGTATATATAAGTGACAACGGTGCGCCCTGCCTTGATTAAAGGGAAACAAATTGGTTTCGTTTGACCAACTGCCGGCTAGGACCCTCCCAACACAGAGATGTCCTCGGCGGTCTTGTGCGAGAGTGAGGACTGCATCAGGATGATCTCATCCTCGGCCATTAGATAGATTTTGACTTTTTCACAACCTGAAGCCTGACCTCCAGGTGCCCCTCCCTTGATTCTCGCTGGTGCCCGATGGCCCTTGATTGTCTGTGTCCTATCTCTGATCCTGGGTCCACTGCTGTGAGGTTTCCGGGAACAAGCATCGGGAAGCCTGGCGCTCCACGTTACATCGTGCCAGGTGCGTCCGGCAGCATCCAATCTTGTTACTAGCGTGCTCAAATACGAACCTGCTTCAAAAATGGAAACGTTAGGGTTAAACCCAAACGTCCCTATCCAATCTGATTATCTATGTTTGCATGTTCCAGTGTTTTGGGGCTTGATATGGATAGTTTGGGCCACGGATGCCCACTGTGCCCCAATCCCGCACTGAACGCCTCCGTGCGTCGGACAGCTCACGAGCTTCCGCAAAGCCGACTCGCGGCTGAGGCTGAGCATCGAAAATGGTGTAGTACTTGCCTAGCAAGGGCAGCACTTTGGCGTGGAGCTATAGGGATGGCTCTTTTTGAAAGTGCCTTGGTGAGCTGGCTTTCATGACCTCAACATCTGGGGGAGCTGGGTATGATCTAAGAAGCTTTTGTTTGGCACGGAGGCGCTGCCGCTTCGGCACTACTGCCAAAACTACACGTGGCAACAGTGAGGATGAAATTCAAAACAAATTCTCAGCACACAGAATGCTTCAAATGTTCTCTATGTTGTGACTTTCAGGACCCTGGTCTTCTACCTGATGAAATGGGATTTCCATGGTTGGCATGTCCATCAAAAGAGCAAAGAAGGATTCTTATGCTGCCAACATCTGCCAACTGAGTTTCCTCCCAATTGAGTTTTTTATTGCGAAAAATGACACCAATGGCTCCCATCTGCCATCGGGTGGCGCAGCAATGGCTCTCCCAAGATGAGGCTCTTCAGGTGAACGCCAGCAGTCACCACTCGCTCTCCCTCACGGCCTTGGACGAAAGGCCGGTGGCCGACGGGCCGTCTCAGTGATCTACTTACGAAAGTCCAAGACCTGGCAGACCTGGCAGACTTGGCAAGGTCAAAAACAGGCGAATGCAAATTGGTTTGACCATGTTGTATGCAAATTGGTTTGACCATGTTGTATCGTGTCCATATACTTGGTGCTTGATTTCTCGAGATGGTCCACCGAATGTGCTGCGTCTTACTGCAGGCGGTCACTGTCTCTGTCCGTCACACATCCTCAGCATTCCAAGCCCGAGCAGCGGGTAGCAGTGCTCTGCCGCTCTTCCACATCCCAGGGATGCAGCTGCGGCACGCATCGGTGCCCCTCGAGGGCGGAGTAGTCCTGACGTCGCCAACCACCCGCAAGTTCAGTCGCAGCTTCTACACAAGGATCCGCATGAACATATAAACCAGATCCAAAAAGGATCCACGGCAGAAACCATGTCACTTGCAGTTCTCCATGTTCTTCACCCACAGAAGCCTCGCTCTTTGACTCTGACTCGCGACAGCATCACGTCATACGCACGGCGCGGTCTGTCACTTTCGGCCTTGGCGTCGAGCGTCACGTTGACACCCTCCAGCTCGAAGGTCAAGCTGGGTCCCTGCGCTCTCTCGCACAACGGCTGCCTCGGGCCGAGACGTGAGACCGTGCGGTGCGGCCAGGGCGGTGTATGGGGTGGAAACAGCAGCCGGTGGATTCTTCGCCACAAGAAATCAGCCACTCCTGACCCCTAAAACCAAACAAATACCTGCAGCATCCTGCAGCTATCATCTAATATCCTCGGCATCGCGTTTCCTTTGGCTTCCGTCTTGTCATCGCCCTTCCGTCGTAAACGAGCCACTCAGAGAGCCAGCCTTTTGCTGCTTTGACTGTCAGCTTCTGCTGCATCAAAGGCAAGACCTGACGCCACTTCGGCCAGTGGATTCTGCGTGGTTGCTTAAGATGCTATGGAGAAGAGTAAAGACTTGAGTAAATATGTGTTCAGCGTCTTTCCGGCAGTACCAAGTACATCCAGGTACTCAATACCTAGTCCTCTACCTAATTTCCCCCCCACCACGCGCATGTAGGAAGGAATTCTTCCGGCGCGACATGGGCCTCAGTGGGAACTGTGATGTGAGACGAGCTGCTGTCCAAGATGGCCCTGCAATGAAACGTTGGGTGCGCTGCCAGAGCCGATGGAATCAGGACTTGATAGAGTCTTTGGACCGAACATGGGGTGGGTGAAGAAAGTCAAGTTGAACAATGGGTGCAAGATGGTGCAAGTAGACTTGAGTTCTATGACGTTCCATCATTTTGGGGTTCAAAGAACTTAGCTGCTGCATACCTCTGGTATCTCAATGTGTGGTGTCAAAGTGTGGCCAACTTGGACGATTCGCGTGGTGCGTTGTATTTTTCTTGCGGGTTGGACCACGATTTCAGAAACTTCACCATGCTTCACTGGGCTTCACTGTGACTCGCCTGCAACCCCCATTGCAGAAGTCCAGGGAGTCGTTGCCCACATAGACCGCCTTCACTCGCACCTGCCAACACCGTCCAACGTTTCGGTGGATGAGTCCATCGGTCCAAGCATTGGGTCAGGTGTCTGAATGAAATGCCAGAATTACACCACTTGAAATACTGAAGTCATAGTAGAAGTGAAACACCTCCTGTTTCTAGAGGATAATGGTCATCCAGCAGACCATTTTCCATAATGTTCCGCTTCCGTGATTGCTTCAGGGAGTGTACAGGACCCGGGACCTGGTGATCCTCGTTCTTGCATGTATCATGAGGCATGAGGCAAATATATCACGCAATACAAAGAGAAAAACAGTTTGCCATTATCCCCTGCCAAAGGCAGTCTGGAGTGCTTCAGCCGTAACCAGAACCCCAAAACCTGACCTACGCAATCCGAGTGGCTGCATAGCTATAGGCAGTGGTTCTGAAAACACAAGCCAAAACCTGCATTTTCCCTCTGAACCACAATCGAAACAGTATATCAAAGAAACTTCCTCCAAATCCTTTGACTCTCCAGCATGGTGAACCGGTCCTGCCAAAAGCCCTGCTGCGGATCTTCCACTGGAACATAGGAGATCTTCGAGAGAGCACGGCTGCTTTTGTAGCCTGAAAACCGGTTTTGCTTCCGTAGAAAACATGCGACGCGGTCAGCTAAAGTCGCACATCATGCTTTTCTACTAGTAGCTTCTTGTTCATGGCCTCCACCTAATAGCGCCCTTGTTACTAGTAGTTTCTTGTTCCTAGTAGCGATGGCCTCCAACCTACTTGCGATGGCCTCCACCTAATAGCTTCCTTGTTATGTGTGCTTGTCTTTTTCCGAAAGTCACATCACCCGCATGGGCACGGCCCACCAGAAGTTACATCATGTGAGAATAGTCACATCACAAAAGAACGAATTCCCGTGGCTCAGCGAAGCTAATCCTTAATGTACTACAACACAGAAGTTCAAGGAACCATGCCCACAAGAGTGCCTTTGCTACATGTTCAATGTTATGTTTGGTGGCATCACAAAGTCCGAATCCCTTTGTTTGCCAACGTTTTTGCTGTGATTATCATGTGGTTACTATGCCCTGTGTGCCAAATTCTATCGGGTTTTTGCTCCTCATGTCTTACAACGCATGTCCCATAATGCAGTTGAAAAGACTGTCACATGGATCTTGCACGACACGGCCACAAAGAACCCGCTGAAGGTAGAAGTATATTAACGTCAAGTCAAGTTCAATCAACATAATCAACTTCACAGATACGTCTTCAACTTCATCCACAAACCCGATATGTCTCCAACACCTGGCGGTCTGGGCCTCCAAAAGTAATTTCTCCTGGGCCCTGCGCGGGCAAAAAGAGTGCGAAGCGCTGTGGAAGATGCGTCCAGCAGCTGAGGAAGTTGAACGTGCGCGAGATGGACCTGTCGATCACTGACGAACCCCGATGATTCAAATAAAATATCCACTATACCAGGGCCCCTAAGGGGTCGTTATTGGACACCCCTTAACCTCTAAGGGGCCATTAAACACCCCTTAGGGGGCGTGGATATAAATATATATATATACCTGGAACCCCAAACGATCACCGTTTTTTGAGTGCCAATCAGTTTTGAGACGCCACATGGCATTGGTGTTCTGTTTTTGGGTGTTTGGCTAAAACGATCAACCAGGATCAAGGACCGCTTTCGCTATGTGGAAACCTTGCCGGAAACGAGCTGGAGACACCCAAACGCTTAAAGACACAACACAACATTTATAAACACGACTCAAACGACTAGAAACACAACACAAACGACTAGAAACACAACGCCGTTGCGTGAACCACCTGAAACAACAACCAAAAATACAACGCAAACGATCAACAAAACGACGCAAACGCTCAACTTTATGGCGCAACTTTGGTGTTGTTATTCAATACACTTTGGAATCCCTGGAGTGCCCTTTGTGACACCGGCACATAGGTCTTGGATTGTGTTTTTTTGATGGTCGATCAAAAAATCTAAAGCGAATAGATTTTGGTAGGTGTTCCAGGCTCCAGGTATATATATATATATTGGGTGTATCCCATTACGTGTCTGACAATTGTGACAATTGTTTACCAACTGTTACAGGTATTGGGACAACCCCGCAAGAACATATGTGTGTGTGTATATACAATATGTTGTTTATAATCCCCAGGCAGGAATTTCAGCCCAAGAAGGATCTCATAGATTTTGGGATCCTCTACCACCTTTTGACAAGGTGGAAATGGATGCGCTTTACACTTTGGACTGCCAGTCCTTACCTTGCGAGCGGGCATGTGGATCCAAACGGTGGCGCGCCAGTTCACATGAATGCGTTCTAGGCTCCAACAACCTCCCTTTTCGAAGGTTGTGCTACCTTGTCAAAAGGTGGTTGGAGCCCTGGGAATTCTTAAGGATAATCCTTGGCTGCATGTGAAGGATCAAATCACAGGTGAAGGATCCACCTGTCGTCGGCGTGCCCCAAGAGCGGCCCAAGGAATGGTTCTATCGAGGCACAAGCCCTCCAGGCTGAGGCCGACCAAGCCATCCACTGGCAGCGCCTGAAGGATACAGATCCACAGAAGGTATCCTACAAGCAATAGCCACATTCCGTCGATTTCCCGCATTATATACAACCTCCCAAAACATTATGTTGACTGTTGATGCACAACCCCCCCCCGCATGAAAACGTTTCACAAATCTGCCGGGGAGGTTCTTAAACCACAGGTGCCAGTGCACCACATTGTCGGAACCGGCATAATCAGTTGCTGGCTTTCTAGTGGACAACATGTTTTTGACATGGAAATCGTCTGGGTCAAACTGCCAAGAAGGGTTCGGTTTATGCATCTGGTTGCCAACTATAGCTACGAGTGACAGCGATACCTAGAGCCCTAGTCTTGGGGTTCGCACGGATAAACCTTTTCCATTTGTCGGATGTCGATCTCCTGGATGACTGTGGGTAGGTATGCATGTATTTAATTGTATTTATATATACATCTCGGGAACACCCTATCACTTATACAAGCAACATTGAGCAACGGTCTAGTCTATGACTGACATTTCAAAAGGTCCGACATTGTTGTCTCTGGTGGTCTCAGCCAAAGCACGATCTCCATGAGTCTTTTGAGCTGAAAACATGTACAGGATTGGAATGGGATACATATGGGGAGCAAGGACAAAAAACGAGGTGTGTCAGGGTGCCTCCCAGCAGCTTTTGTGAAGGTGGCCGCCTCATTAAAAAACAAAAAAACACATTGGAGATTTGGTATTCGGCCTCTTGTGATCCAGTCTCAGTACATTCAGAACGATTGAGACCTTCGGCCTTCCTGTTTTAATTGGATCATTCACCCGCGATTCCTGTCCATTACACCCTTTCTTTAAGGTTGGGTTTCGGTGGCCCCTGGGTGTGCGGGCGACTCTTTTCGTCGATCGGATGCATGGACGGTGTTCGCCACCCACGCGAGCCAGACGGGGCGCACAAGTGAACCCCCTCACTTCGTGTGGTGTACTCCCTCCAACAAACATGGAAGTGGAACATGAATCCTTAAGACAGTTTTCCTCTACAAACATGCCATTTTCCACTTCCATGATTGTTTTAGGGAATATTGATCATGTTGCAACCGGTGGACTCCAGGGCTACTCCAGGACTCCAGGGCTTGCTTCTTTTTTGGTCGACTGCTCCCCCGGCTCTGCCCGGGTGCCAGAAAGGGATCGTCGGTCATGTTCTTCGCGGCAAGGAAGCCCACCTCCGCACAAAGGCCTGCCGCGTGATTGGGCCCTTTTGGGGACCTAATGAGGTAATAGGTATGCATCCACCTATCTCCTTGCAAGGTTGCTGAACCCAAAGATTCCCAGCCCCTAACCTCAAAAGGGTATGTGCATCCCTGGGCGGATCGGCATGATCAACTGTCAAGTTTATGTGCCCTACCCAGACACTCCATGCCTACATTGGGGTGGTTTGGGAGGTCAATGTAGGCATACATGGCATACATGGAGTGTCTGGGCTAGGCCCTGGTTTTCTGCCCGGTTTCACACCACTTCCAGCCGCACTGCCCCGTTGCCTTCCGCCAGGCAAACCGTGTCCCTCATCATGTCGCCCACCACGACTCCCGACGCTGGGCCATCCTGCAACGGGGCAGTATACGGTCATCCATGGTCATCCTGTGATATTTTGTCACGTCGATCTGCAGCGGGTTCGGAACCAATCCACTCAAAGTTGGCCTTCGCTTGGAGCTACGAAGTTGTAAGGATCCCCATTTGGCCACTGGGGTCAGTACTCAGTACTCGATCTACGCCAAAAGGAAACCATCGGAATAATTACTGTCAATGTCGGCGCAGGGACTGGTGGCGGATTTCATGTGTCTTGGGTGTAGTATAGCTGCAGGAAATTACAGTATGAGATTTTCTGCAAGCCACCAGGCGAATACATGCAGCATCCAGCAACTGAACCGCTTCGTGGCCCAAAACGCACTGAATCACCTCGAGGTGAATGCTGTGGTCCCGCCAAAATATGCCAAACACAGGAGGGACTTCCAAAATCTTCCAATTCCACTCCTCGTTGTAATCCACCGAGAGGGCGGCTTGCTCACTGGTGCGCACCACACCTGCGGCGTCGGAGTGCGTCACCGTCGATCGATATCGATTGCCGATCGCACACGAAAAGGATGGTCCTGCTTGCTGGATATCCCAAACGCTCCATGTGTGGAATATATGCCCAATTTATTACTAGGGTGGAGGCCGTCGCTACTAGGTGGAGGCCATCGCTAGTAGGTGGAGGCCATTACTACTAGTAGCAAGGACGCTACTAGTAGCAAGGTGCCCTACTAGTACTAGTAGTAACAATTAAGCTACTAGTAGTAAGGCACTTTACTACCAGTAGCTTCTTGCTAAATAGTCCAGTCCCATGGAGCATATGGCTATGGCTTTGATATGATTTAATGGCATCAAATAATCACCATCTAACACAAGTTGATGGGGGAGGAGTCGAGTAGCATATTATTTACAAGAACATGTATTTTCCTATAAAGTAGGCCCTTTATAGCAAACCCAACTGCACCTATTCTGTATAAATTACAGTAGCGGGGATACATCATCTGAAATTGCAAGCTCGGGCCCTTTTGAAACACCGGAACTCGTGATGTCATATTACATTCTTGATCATTCATTCTTCCTTCCGTCGGCCCTCCCACTTTCGGGGTGTCAGTGTATGTACTGGAGGTCGTGGCACTGTGCCACACTGGCGCCATGTGAGATGATGTGAGATGGGAGATCGGGATGCTACATCGTCTGCAAATGGGATCCCATTTGCCCACGCTTTCCCACGCTTTCCCATGTGACCCTTCGGTGAAGCCACTGGCGCTAACTACAGAAGGATCCCCCAAAGACCATTGAAAAAGGGGCACCAAATCACCTCTTTTTCAAGCTGGGGACGGACTCGTGGACAACCCACAAGGCCTTGACTCTTCCCAGACCGCCCGTATCTTCCTTCGGCCTCCTGCACGGTTCAGATGCTGTGCACCAGCGCTTTCGGCGTAACGCCGGTGGTGGAGACAGGCGGGGCTGTTGCAGCGAGTGGAGTCTAAGACCAAGGAACCGCTGGCAGTCTCGAAACCCACCTGGGAACGTGAGGAAGCCAAGGCTTGGAGAGGATAGTGCGTCTTCATCTCTAAAACCGAATCTGGACCCTTACAGTAAATGGAAAGGCCTCTGGTTCAGGTCCGGAATTCGGGGCTCTAAACCCCGGAACTCCAGGGATTCTTTCATCCGGAAATTCGTGTGACCCGTCATTGGTCAGTTGAGACAAATCTCCGAATCATTGGACATGATTGTTCAACCACTAAAAAGGATTGAAAAGGAGCAATGATAATCTGCTTACCATTTGCATGCCAGCAGTATACTGCCAATATACCTTGAATTGGTGCTATTTTACCGACAATTCTTTCAGCTTGCAAGCCCGACGACCAACCGGCCGATGACAAACCGACGGCGACGACATGTAAACTGTAAACGATTCAGGACCACTGGTGACGAAGAGGCCCCCAGGATGCAAATGGAGGGTCTTTTCCACTGAAGATTTTTTTGGGGGCAAAGGCTTGATGATTAGCTGATATTGATCAGAAATTATGAGGACATTCTGAGGATCGCCGACAGGAATCCACATCAAACTGTGGAGAAAAAATCAGCGTTTCCCGATCTAACCACCTAGGACACCGTGCTTGAACAAACACATGCAAAACCAACACCAGCATGACCATGGTCCCCCATGTGGTCTGTCTTTGGAGTCGAATCTCATGGCACCCTCGAGCCCGAACGCTCGTTTCGAACAACCGAACATGCACAAAACCGATGGCCATTGCAGGAAACAAACGCTCCGGATGGCGGATGGAGGTCCTACGGTCCAGGTGTCCGACCCTCCATGAGGCCTGCAGTCGTTGGGGAGCGCTCCCCACCAGCAGGTGGCCCACGTAGTAGGTTTTGGAGATGTCACCCAGGGGTGCCACCTCTTTTGGACAACGCGGGTTTTTGAAGCCAAAGCAGTGAAGAAGGCAGAATGTAATTAACGAAGAAAATTCTCACTCGGTGCTTCACAGGGCAAAAAAGGAACAACAGTCACAGGGTCAAAAAAGCTGGGTTTTGAGAGGAGAATGCACCGATGACAGAATTGCACCCATGTTCAGCGCGGTCACTGGTTGACATGTCGTTTGGATTGTTTGCAACAAGTTGTAAGACTTGTTCGCCAAACCCAGAGCCGCCAAGACCACAGCCATTTGAAGGCCCGTTGGGTCGAAGTCTAGCAACGTTCGCTTCTCCACTTCCAAAGTACACCAATCCATTTGCTCCACACTGTTTCCAATTGTAGGACCGTAGAAAGTAGCAAGACCCTTGGCAGAACTGGGAAGCTGTGTGTGTTTTTAGTCAACATTCAGGTGCTGCATCAACTGTAGATTCAACTGGGGCGTGCTAAACAACCAGACCCTTGGTTTCACTCAAGAAGCCGTTGAAATCCATCAAGGGTTTCAAGTTTCGAGTTGTGGTGCTTCTTGGGTCCTTAGGGCACTAGGTGCCTTCCTATCTGTATTATGAAACAACACTTTACAGATCTTTACAGCAACTATCTTAGTGTTTCTCTCTCTATATACACGCAACTATATCCAACTGCACACCTCATCCCCCATATCCCCGCACCTTGCGCTCCAGTGGGATGGAGATCGGTCCAACCGCGGATGCCAGCGCCGGCAGCGCCAGCGCCGGCAGCGCCAGCGCCAGCACCAGCGCCATGGCGCGAACGTGGAATGCAGTCGTTTCGGTGTTTTGGGCTCGACAGGCGAGTGGCGCTGGAGCTGGCGAAACCGCCGCGTGGAGCGGCGAGAAACGGCGAGAAGCGTGGAACATGTTCAATCCGATACACATGTATCTGTAGCGTCCTTGTTCCTAGTAGCGATGCCAGGAGCCCCTAGTAGCGTCCTTGCTCCCAAGGTAAACGATCCACATCGAACAGGGGAAGCTGACAGGTCTAACATCCTATGCCTATGCCTCATATTATCGTCCATGGAACTGTGGAGCTTTGACCAATACGCCTCAAGGGGCAAGTACAGCTTCAAATCACTAATCATCCAGACCCTGGATCACCCTGGCTGGATGTCCTCAAGGTCCAAGCAGCCCAAGTATAGCTCCAAAACAGTTCCATCTTTTGCATGACTTAACCAATACGTGCTTGTCATCCGAGCACCATGGACTACCATGGATCACTTGTGTCAACCAACATGTGCCCTTCGTCTGCAGGCGTCATTGCATGATCTTTGTTTGCTTTAGAAAGACCGGATTGCACTGAGCTCGTTGTTGTTCCTGACCAATGACAGAAATATGTTTGACAATTCTTTGTATGCAAGCACTAACCACTTCTTACCCCTTGCTCATCCTCTCGAGCTGTTCTCCGAGTAGCCAAGGATTCTGGCACCTGGACACGCTTCAAGGGGCTTCCTGCGCAGGAAGGACCCGACGGTCAGGCTTGTCTTTTCAGGCTGGACCAAATGGCACTCCAAACGTTGCCTTGAACATATGTCGCTTGTTCTCCCGAAGCAATACCCGGTACCCTGGCACTCCATGTATGGCATATTTATCAACAATGGGGTGGTTTGCGGAGTCAATGCAATAGGTAAATATATATGTCGGGATAGTCTCAGGTTCAGTCTGAGATGACCCTAGATGTTGTAGAGGAAAAGTTGAGTCTTGCGAAGGGCGCTGGCAAACCCTCTGTGCATTCATCGGAGTGAATCGAGCTTTCTGGGAGTTGGCGGCACTCCTGGGAGTTGGGGCGGCCATCTTTTGGGTTCGGAAGGAACACACAAAGAGCAATATCCAAGATAACATTGAGTTGATATAATAAAGCAGCTAGGGATCCACTGCCAACTGAGAAGGTGGGCACTCTCCGATCCATATTTCAACTGAGTTTGGTCTTCCCAACAACATCAGCCATTCGCAGGTATTCACAACGACATCACCATCCATTTTTACCACACCGAGTGCTCGGCCAGGAGTTGAGAAAGCCACGGTGTCAGACAGGCTGCGGTCTTATTGACGAATGGAACAAAATCATCCAAAGTCGATTTGTATTGTTGTACCATGCTGTACAGGCTGTACCTAATGCTGTGGCCTCCTACGTTCCCTCAGTAGTCAGTTTGATGTTTTTTCTGCCAAATGGGTGCCCCGATGGACCAAACGACAATACGACCCAAATAAAACAAACAAACAAACAATGTAGCTCATAGCCCTTCTAGCTTCCAAGAATCCTTTTGGAGATAAGGGAAAAAAAATCCAAACCCACCAGTTCTCTTCAACCACCTCAAAAGGCTGGGTTCTTTTAATCCAAAGGGAGTCCTTTGAAAAGCGACTTGCGGACCGGTCCTGTGGGTGCCCCTCTCTCGGGGGCTTGCAAGGCCTGGGATTTTTGGGCAAAAAGCTCCGTTCGTAGCTTCTTGTTAGTACCTACTTGCTCCTAGTAGTACGGCCAGGAGCCCCGAACGTAGCGTCCTTGCTCCTAGTAGCGATGCCCTTTGCTCCTAGTAGCGTCCTCTACCACCTCAAAAAGGTACTGTTGGCAAAGAAAACAAATTAATAAGGAGGGTCGTACTTGAACTACCACGCAAAGGGCTTGGTTCCGGCGGGTGTCAATACGTGTCAATTTAAGAGCGTAACTGCCCTACTTCTTCATCCTCTGGAATCGAAATGGCTCCTGTTTTGGGCTCTGAAGAACACTTGTGTTCAACTCTTTCATCACTTGCAAGTGCCAATTGTACCTCAAAATGAACCCCAAGAAACTGGGGTCAGAACCAAGTTTTGTGGTCAGAACCACTCGCTTCAGGACACGAGTCCTGGCCATAAACATCATATCCCAATCTTTCAGCCACGACATCAGAGCTGCCAGAGCTGCCATCCGGGTCGACCGTTCAGAAAGGGTCGACCGTTCAGAAACCACAATACGTGGATCATCCATCCAACTGTTCTGAACACGTCGCAACAATCTGGGCACAGAACACCGCTGTTTTCAGGCCGATTTTCAAACCTCACATGCTCCCGACTCATCAATATCACTGCCTCCAACCCACTGCTCCCGTTCAATGACAAACATGATAAACATGTTCCAAACGCAGTGTGTTGATATCATACACGATGTGTCGTTTGGTTTTCTCGTTTCGTTGCAACAACAAAAAAACACTCCAAAGAAAAACCAACAGGCTCTCTGCCGCGCGAATCGGCCGCCGCGCGAGGCGGCCGCCTGGATCAACGCTTCCAACAAACGGCTGCCCAACTGCAAGGCCAACGCCTGCAGGCCGCCGTCGATCGAATCGGAGATGAACCAGCGACATCGGTGTAGAGGGAGCGGGTACGTCGAGAAAGGGATGACATGGATATGGACCCTATACCCTGGAAGTCCAACCACTATTATTTCAATAACGGTTCCCATAACCACTATTTTCATGAATCACGAAACGAAGGTTGTGAATCACGGTCATTCACGCTCTCCAGGCACCATCGTTCCTTTTTTTCTCATGCTGCTTCCACCAATCACCGGTTGGCCGTTTTCATCAACCTTGGTTGGGCCCACCCATGAACAACACATGTTGAATAGCTGTCAACACTACATGTGTATACATGTATCACTTCTGAGGCGCTCTTTGATTTTCCACTTCATCGACTTGAGCCTCACATCACCAAATTATGTTTAAACTAGGGGCCAGTTCACAGACAACAACTATTGCAGAGTGCCTCAATTTCTGACACCTCAACAGCCACCGGCTCTTCTTCTTAGCAAATGCAAATCGGGTAGTGCCTGCAGATGCTCAAGAACGTATGCATAACTGTGCCTGTAATCCATTTTGCCACATAACCCAACTTATATTAGTTCAGTCGGATTGCCTTTTGCCCACTTCATGGCATCTTCATCAGCAAAACAATGGAAATATCGAGGGTTTTCTCCTGAGAAAAATCATGGTGGCAGGACCTACTAATCGAGGTGTTGAACAAGGTGCAATCACTGCAAGCGTGCAAGACACTCCATCGACGCAAATCAATGAGGACGTGTAGGAAAGCCTCAGCTTGATCACTCCCCCAGTTCCCCTGCTATGTACAAGGACAGTGAACAAAGAGGCCTAGGGGCGTGAACCTTGGGCTTGAGTAGAAACTCAAGCCGGCGTTGGCAGACTGACAGATGGCCAAGAGCTTCAAAGGTTTGTAGGAAAAGCAGCCCTTCTTGATATATCTCTTCAGCAGTCTCTGCACTCCTAGATGTGACAGCACCATCTCAGTGATATATGTACAAAAACCTTCTGAGGAAAAAACATAAAAACAGTACAAAAACAAACAACATGTATTTGACCAGCCAATCGTCAGATATCGACCATTCATCTCTAGCATCCAAAACACTCGAGCCATGGACGTCCTTGCTGGCACAGTGTAGAGGATTGGATGGGTGGATCCAAAACGGAAATCAGATTATCCAAACATGATGTTAACATGTTTTAAAGGATGTTGTTGAAAACAAAAAGCAAAGTCTTAAAATATCGCTGAGTTGCAGGGCAACACACGCCGTTTCAAGGATCCCACCATCAAATCCTGGATGATTGGGTGCAACCTCCCTCAATGTAGAGGCGAGCCAATCAACGAGAACTCTGCCATTCCATGCTTTTGCCAGCAATAAGATCTCACCAGTTTTCATTTTGACCTTTCTCTGAGGGCAACTTCCAAACAGGGGGCAGGGCTGTGTGTCTACCATAGTTTTTCCTCTACCGCCCCACACTTCGATACAAAGGACTCCTCATAGTGTTTTTTGCCAATGCAAAAAAGACACGTGTTTTTCTTTGAATGGTGGCTGGCTGTGGTGAAGACGGTGCCGCCGGCAATACGCAACAAAGTCTTTATATGCGCGGTCCAGTTGATCCTGGAAGCTCCCAGGTCCAAAATGCCCCACCCGCTCTGCTAGGAGACACCTCGAACGCTGCATAAAAAGGGTGCACTATGGTGATGCCTTTTGCCGTGATACACAACATTGTTTTCGTGATTCATGAAAATCGTTGTTATATGGGAACCGGCCGGTACATAACAATCGTGGTTGGACTTCATGGGGGTGTAGTTGGTGTTCCCCTGAAGCTTCCAGTCACAAGTCATGACGCATCCACCAGCCAGGAAGCAGGTGCCCTGGATTTTTCCCAACACCAAACTTTTTTATCCAGCTATTATAGTATTATCCACGGGCCAATGATAGATATAAAAAATCCAGGGCACCAACACTTTGTCCTGGAGCTCATCTCCAAATGCAGCCGGTTGCGAAGGCTCGGCGGTCAGGATTTCGGAACAGTGCTAAATTTGTTCAAGGCACAGTGCACCTCCATTCAATCCAAAGACCAGACCCAGATTAAGGATGTGCATCGTGCACCACCGTATGCACGATGGATGGAATGCATGCACATTGATCAGGGGGCCTTGCAAGGTTTGCTATGCCCACATGCGTTAGACTCCTAGTTCTGGGCTAGGTTTACCCAAGTGCTGTTCATTGGTGGATGGAAACCCTAAAACATCCTAAACCCCCACCAAGAGACAAATATGAGACTCCGGCAACCGATTGTTAATGAAGTCATTGGTGTCAAACTCCTCAGACCGCCATCGAGCGTTCTGATCCAGGTTCCAGTATAGAAGACCCGCGTTTCCTTTAGACCTGGCTGTGCACCTGTGGCATGTTTCAATGCCATTCCAGCTGCAAGTCAGCTGCCACAGGCTTTTGTGATGTTCCCAATCACCTCTGTACTCCGTCACCTGAAATTTGTGAAATTGAAGAGTAACTTGACT